GTACAAGTTATTAATTTCATTAAATTTGAACTCTGGAGTTTATGGCTTTTCACTATTCTGTGTGAAAAGGTGGAAAGTATACAGACAAGATTTCTGTGTATTCAGCTATGACAGCTGTCTGGAGGAAGAACTCTCCTGTGATTGAATTGTGAGCTAAGCTGGCCATTTTAATCATGGAATATCACTTGAAAGAACAACTAACAAACAAATTCCTATTATTCAGACTGAGATATTCTGAAGACTTTTTTTTTTTAATTAAATGAATTGATCTGTCACCGCAATGAGAGTAATGGATAGTATTTGTTGATAATGAAAATACTGGGTCCTAAGAGAAAATTAGAATTTAGAAAATTTGAGAGTAATGGATAGCATTTGTTGATAATGAAAATACTGGGTCCTAAGAGAAAATTAGAATTTAGAAAATTTGAGAGTAATGGATAGCATTTGTTGATAATGAAAATACTGGGTCCTAAGAGAAAATTAGAATTTAGAAAATTTGTGTTACAATGTCAGAATAACATTTATTGGATAGACAATTAGATAGAAATTGGTGATCTGAAAATTGTGACTGTTTTTAATATTGAAAATGAAAAATGCATCAACATTTGGAAAATCTGCAGATCTCAGTAAATTCATATTTTTCAAATAATCAATACATGATATCACAAATTCATAAACAGTTGTTCCCTTTTTTTTTTTTTTAAACAGGGTTGCTAAGTTGCACAGACTGTCCTGAACATGCAATCTTTCTGCCTCAGCCTCCCAAGTGTCTGAGATTACAGGCACTTGCCACCGGGATGAGCAGAAGATGCATTTGAAGTGTAAGATAGACCAGCATATTTTAATGTAGCAGAGTAGATGAAGTTTCTCTATACTGTTTTAGACTCAACATAACAGTTTACCAAGTTTTGATGTAGTATCAAAGAAGAACGTGTAAATAGGCGATTAAAATATTCTTCCATTTTGAATTATATATCTCTATGAGGTCAGAACTTGTTTTTTTTTCATATACTTTAATCAAAACAACAACTTAATGAGAAGAAGATATAAGAAAACAGCTATCTCCTATAAAGCCAAAACAGTAAAGAGCTTTGCAAAATTAGAAAACAATCCTACTTTTCTATTTTTTTATTTTGAAAGAGTTATTTTCACAAAAAAGATGTTATGAAGTTGACATATATTTTGGTTTATTATTGCTTTAAATTAATTAATATGCCTCTTTAAASTTTTCAGTCAGCTTTAATTTCTAATATGATAAATASTGATAAACATATCAATGCATATTTTTTGAGGCTCTCAATAATTTTTAAGAGTATAAAGAAGTTCTTTACCCAAAAGTGTAAGAACCATTTACATAGAGAATTATGAAGTACTAAGTCCCTGGTTATGGGTACTTTGTTTATATCAGACATATGACCATTGTTTTGTATTTTGAAAGGGAGATCAGAAACAGCGTACTGCTAACTCCCATCACCTTAGGTAAAAGTTCTTTGTCTGAAGTCATTTGTTCTGTTGTCTTGCAAAGCTGAACACATAAAACACATTAACAAAAACTTTTCTAAATACATGGATTGGAAAAGTTAGGTCTTAGGATGTCAAAACCTGAAGTGGGTGGAAGAAAGATGAYATTATTTGCTTGGATCACAAGATGACATCCTTGTGATCCAAGCAACTCCTGTTTAAGAAAGAAAGCTGAAATGCAAGTTGCCCCATGTTATTCAATTGGTTCATATCATAATGTATGAATCTGGAGCTCATATCTCTTAATTTGGTGCCTACGAACCAAGACTGGCTGACTGGTAGCTGAAAATCTGACGGGAAACTCATAAATTGGATTAAATGGGAAGTTTTGGGATGTGTCCATGGGCACACAGAATAACTCAAATCTGAGACTCAGTGAGAAGATGGTARAAAGCTGAAGCAGGTCACATGAGTGAGCACAGGACAAAGCAGTTGGTGATGCTTCCTGCTCTGCTTTGAATGAGTATCTGTGTTAAAGACTTCTCTAGCCTGGGATGCTTTTTTGGGGTAGTGGAATCTTTAGGAGGTAGGGTCTTGTGGAAGGAAGTTGGGTCACTGGGGTCTGTGCCCTTGAAGGGGATATTGGGACCCTGGACCCTTTTTCTGTCTCTCTTTTTGTTTCCCAGCTGCCTCTTCCACCAGRTACTCTCACCATGATATATTCCCTTTCCAGGGCCCAAAACTAACGAGGCCCAGAGGCTATAGACTGAAACCTCTGGAACTGTGAGCCAAATCTTTCATSCACATGAGGTGTATATCTCAAGCATTTTGTCACAGTAACAGAGAGCTAACACATTTACCAACAAAAATTTAAGGAATATAATACCARAAGATGAGCTGTAATGCTTTTTGAGTATGTCCACAGCATTGAAGACACTTCACATTTAACACATTCCGTCCATCACTACAACAACTATACAAAGCAGGTATTTTTCTCTACTTATCAWCTAGAAAATCAAGGTCCAGGGAGATGAAATGTGTTTCCAGGATCCCACAAACATTAAAGATGGGATTTGCATGCAAGATCTCTTTTATTTCGGATCCCTTTTGCATACAAGGAACTTAATCCTCTGGCTTTAAGTTGTGTTGGCCTTTTCCCCATTCCCTTGGTGGAGAGGGGATGAGAGAAATGTGTGGATGTATATCAACTTTTATATCCATCCATAGCTAGAGGACACGTTCCTTTTTCTTTATGGCTCATGAATTATAAATTCAAGGGGAGAAAGAATAAATGTGTTTCCCTTTAATAAAGAAATTTCAGTTTTACTAAATGTTCTCACTGCTTGAATTACTAGCATAGGAAAAGTTAAATGCTACTAAGCAATAGTTGGCACTCCTGCATTACATGTAATATCCCTGGAAGTTTAGAGCTGGGAGATTAAATGTCTCTTGAAGGTCTCACAGGCAGGCGGTGGGCACCCCACAATGTCCACTCTATTCCGACATCAATTTAATTCTCATCACGTGTAGGAGTAKAGAATTAGGGAATATATTTTCAATTATAATTTAGCATTTGAAAACGACCAAAGAGGCAAAAAAAAAAAAAAAAAAAATCAGGAAGCTCAAGTCTGATTAAGTGAGATGAAATTGCTCTGAAATTTAAGCCAGTCTGTCTAAAATTGAACCACCTCAGGCAGAGTTCAGACAAAGGCTGAAACCAAGAAGTTTTGTTGGGGAAATGAGTAAGTGGGTCTCCCAAGAGCGGCGTGAAGTCAAGGGGCCAAGGTAAAGCTTCCCAGAGGTGTAACCGCTGCATGTGGGGGTGGGGCAGGGTTGGAAAGGTGGAACACTTTGCAGGTCCGCCTGGGGGCTGGGCTGGCTGGCTGGTTACCTGGGGTTGCAGAGAAATTTTTTTTAACGCTTTTTCACATCTCCCAACACCACACCCTGCACGACGTATTGAAAGCATCACCCCCAGTTTATCGGACTTTTCTGTTTCGGTTTCTGACTGATTTGTTCATTATTGCCACGTTTATTATATGTGATCCTTATCGTGGGCCAATAATTTATCAAGGCTTGGTCGRGTTCGAATGAAATGCACACCTCAGAGGGCCCTAGTAAGAAAAAGAGGCCAAGAAAAAAGAAAATGTTTTACTCTGTTAACAATTTCATCAGTCTCCCCCAAAACCAAGTCAGTTCATTTGTGAATCCACTCATTTTTTCCTAAACAGTGCCACCTACTGTCCACTTTAAGTCGTTATCAGACTTTTTAGCAAGGACCAAGGAGAAAGAAAAGGGGGCAAGTATCCGAGAAAATAAACTCTACTTAACTTTGGGGACATTGGAAAAAAAAAAAAAAGAAAAAGGAAAGCCAACTTAGTAGGAAAAGAGTAAGAATTTTGACTCGCCAGCTTCACAGAAAACTCGCAAGGAAAGTCATCCACTTCCTTAGAGATGGCTATATATACACATATATAACTATTTTTAAGAGTGCTGTATCGAGTTCTCCAGACTCAATGTTTTATTAAATTTTTATCTTTAATGTTCTCAATTTGCTTATTTTTACCTTAAAGGACCATATTTAGGGAAAAAATACAATACTTTTCTACTTTTTTTTTCCGCCCACCCACAGCGAGGGTTTGACAAAGGGGAGGCTTTGACGTTTGATGTCAGCTTAAAAACTTGAGCTGGCAGGAAGAAAGGGTTAACAAGTTCTAGACCACTCGCCTTCTTTAGGGGGTCCCGGAGGCTTTCCGAGGCTCCTGGTGCGCGCGCGTACACACACACACACACACACACACACACACACACACACCCCGTCACAGTCCCTGCCCAGGGCAGCTACTTAGCTGAGGGGCATCATTTGTCTTTAAAGCAAATTACCTAAACGTAACAGGGAGTTTATCGCGTATCGGGAAGGCGTGCAGCTCAGACAAGACTTCAGAAATAGCTACAAAGAGGGTCTCCTAGCTCCGCCGCTGGAGGAGAGGAGGGAATCAGGTGGCGGCCAGCATGTGGGCACTGCATTTCTCTGCACACGTTAACAATCAAGTTAATTGAATTCATTGGAGTTTAGAACCGGCCTCTAGCTCAGAGAGGGCTTTGAATGGCCAATTTCTCTCTCTCCCTCTCCGCCTCCCCGCCTCCCTCCCGCCCGCCCGCGCTCCCAGTTCCCTCCCCTCCGGGTTCCCCAGTCCACACCTCCCTCCTCCACTCCCCTAACCCCCCACTCCCTCCTCCGCCCTATTAAAACACCCACCAGCTCACTTGTTAAGACCCCCTTAAGTTGGAGGAGGCAGAAAGGCAACAACAGCGAGGAAGGAGAAGTCAAAGCGTCTGGAAAGAATTACCCAGTCCTGGCTTCGAGCAGCCCATTGAACCAGGGACTTGAACCAGCCCTAGCCAAAGACTTTTTCTCCCGATTGATTCTGCGCTTCCTGGGTTCTGCTGAGTCTTCACCGGCATTTTTTTTTTTTTTTTAATAGGAAAAAGAGACTTTCCGTTATCGGTGGGTGGGAGGGGGACTGGAACCCACAAAAAAAAAGTTAATTTATTTTTTAAAACTGATAATTTTTTTAAAAGAGTTAGAAGACTGAAGTGCAACGGAAATAATAAAAAGAATATTAGTGAATTTCCTTTCAAAGTGGGAGAGTACTAAACATTTGAGACTCCCCCATCTTTTTTAAATGTTGTTTTTAAATTTCTTATTTTTTTTGGCCGGTCGTCTCAAATTCATCTGATCTCTTATTACCTCAATTTTGGAAACTGCCTTCCAGCGACCCTCCGGGACCACACAGACAGGCTGAGGACGACTTTATGACCRAGAGCTGAACAAGGTACGTTACACAGAGGCGTTTGGGTGAAGTATGAAGGTCCTCAGGCCAGGGAAATGGAAGAAATTGTCCACGTGAATGTTAAAAAAAATATATCAGTTTCTATAGAAAAGTTTGAGGTCTGAAAATTTCCAACAGATTGAAAATCGGAGAATATTTCCTATCAGAATCAAGTTTAGCAACATATCCGTCTTTTCCCATCCCTGCGGCTCTCGCCATAAATCCGCTGCTTTTTTGGGTACACAGGTAGCTTCTCTTGGGCAACGCTGTTTGTCCTGAGATGTACTTTTCCATTCTACATCTTCTGGAGCGACAGAGGGACTCTGTGTTAGGAAAAAGAGAATTTCCACTGTGTAAGGAAAATGCATCCCGCACAGCCGTCCCTTTCCCCCCTGTTTCCCCACCCCTTCCCTCCTTCTTCTTTTTTTTCCCACACACTACTTTGGACGGAAAACCCTGTAACTGTCCTGCGGGTTTTACGGTTAAGCAGCTCGCTTTTTGCTTGGAATGAAAGGGTTAAGCGATCCCGGTTTCCAGCTCCTACAAGCTGAGACCCCCGAGAAGGAGGGTCCTGCGCCACCTCCTCGCAGCTACCGGCCTCACTCGGCCACTCCCCCTTTACCGAGCCTCCCCTCCTTTGCACTTCCCAAACCCCATTAAAGTGTCAGGCTGGGTCTGTCCCGGCTCAGCTCAGCTCAGCTCCGGAAGCCTTACTCCGGCCAGGRGTCCCTGACGCAGGCGGTGGCACTCGCAGCTGGGAGCTGGAGGAGGGCGCGCATCTCTCCTCCCAGCTCAGCACCGGCCCGCCCGCCGCCCAGGGCTGGGCGTGCGAGGGGACCGCGCGCTGTGCTCAGGCAGCTGCAGCGACCTAGGAGCCAATTCCGACGTGGCACCGAGCACGCCGGCGCTTCTTTCCCCAGCTGCAGCTGGGGGCACCACTGGGTGAAGGACTTGGGGGCGCCGTCCCGAGCACCCACAACAGGGTGGGGGCTGGGGGCCCCCGGGAACCCGGGTGAAAGTGGGAGTGAAGCCAGAGGCAGAGTTGGGACGGATAATCAACACCTTCGGCGGAATTCGTCACGCTAGTTCCCGCCCAGAAGGAGCCAGCGCTCTGAACTGGGTCCCCGTGAACAGGAGGGCGGGTCTGAAAGGAGGTTCTGTGTTAGGGTGCGAACCGGGAGGCCAGAGAGGCTGCTTCCTCTGCCCGAGGAAACGCAGGCGAGGGGAAACGGCGCTGAAAGGATCATTAAAGCTGGCAAGAGGGACTGGGAGCAGAGAGGCGGTGCCTGGGGAGGAGGGCTTACAGGAACCCGATCTTATTTCAAGGCCTTAGGTGCCAGTTTCATCCAGAGCCTCTCCCTCCATCCCCAAACGCCAGCGCTGAATTCTTGGACTGAAAGGCACTGGCGCGCTTCTGCTCCTGGGGGAGCAAGCTGCTATAGCCGCGCTCCCAGAGGGTTTAGGCAAAAACCCTCTGGCACCTCCCTGCCCAGTTCCCCGCCCATTAGAACAGTGGCTGCCAAGTTGGTCGCTGCAGCTGCACAGAATGCTACACCTCCTCAACCCTAGAGGCTGGGCTGGGATTGCCTTTGACGTCATACCCAGGGGGAGGTGTGACGCAATAGGTAGGGAAGCCCTGATTGGTCAGGAAGGGCTTCCCCCTCAACTCACAGCCTGAGTATCTGTAGACTTTCAAATCAGCCTAGAGTAAAGCTAAGCAAGTTGGTGGACGGGTTTTGCTGAAGACGTGGGGAGGCTGGTAAGAGGGAGAAGGATTTTACTCCCCGATGTAGATTTCAAGGCAGCCTCAGATTTCTCACTGCCCTGGGTGAAAGCATATGATAATATGCCTTCGGAGGTGTTAAGCCGGCTTGTGATTTTTTAAAAGGTCATTCTAATAATAAAGTTTTGATGATCAATGCATATTCATATRTATGCTACAAGGTTTTTAATTAAAATATATATTTCTATAGAATGGGCAAGAACAGCTACGCCCGTCAACATATATTTGTAGATATTTTAGATTTTACAGAATTGGGTTGAAAAGAACTTTTGTTTTCCTTTTTCTTCCAATATGTACAAGTTGACTCATTCATAAAATTAGTTTTACTATATCCCTTTTAAACACTTAATAAAATTACATATACAGCAGAGATACTGTTTTTTTGAATACCCAACCTCTTTCACRGAAGTTTTCCCTAGTAGCTTGGCTATTCTTTTTTTCACTTTCAATGAAAGTTTAATACCTTAAAATACCTATTTTGGCATGTATACTATATTGTGTATGCCTTTGAATTCTGAAAAAAAAAATTCCAAATTCTACATAATTGTTTCTGGATTAAATCTAGAATATCCTTTCCATTCTCTTTTTGCTTATATATTACCGGAAACAAATGCATAGGAAAGTGTATTGTAGGTATACTGGCAGATGCATGCTACCTGGATTGCTTATATTGTACCTAGAATTGAAAACTTATTTTACATAGATAGTTATGAAGCATATAGAAATTCAAAGATTTAATAAATTGGTGGCTTGCATCAAGTAAAGTTATGACTCTCTTCAAAGAAAAGGAGATACTTAGTCAAGTACCTTCCTGGAAAACAGGAATTATGCAACAAACCAATAAAAAGCTGTTTGTAGAAAGTAAATTAGCTTGGATGTGATCATTTTTGTTAGGTCTTTAGGATATAGTACTATTCTCTGCAAGATGTCTTTGTGAACTAAGATTTCTTTTAAAATGTTTTTGTTTCTGAAATTTTAAAACACATACCTTTTTACTGATGCATTTCTTTTTCTATTATTGGCAAGGCAGGGAAAGCACTTTGTCTAAGGATCAAGGTGGAGATCTGCTTTGACAATGTCTATCCCACAGTTATGCATTAAACTCAAGATCAAATAACAAGTCATTGCATTATTAGCTTCCTGGCTTTTTCATGAAGTGCATATACCCCATGTCTCCATTTGGGTTCTCCTTTTTTGCATGCATACCCAGGCCATGTTCCTCTACAAAGCTGCCAGGATGAGCTGATAGAGCAGCCTGGGGACAGCTCCACACTTTATTCCTTTCCTATCTGTCCACAGTCTGCATAGAATAAGTATCATCCCCTACCACATGTAGCCTTAAATTATTTAAGAATACATGCATATTATGGGCCCTGGGATTTAACCCAGAGTCTTGCACATGCCAAGTAAGTACCCTACCACTGAGCTACATCCCCAGTTCCCATTTAAGAATATTTTGAATGTTATCTATGTGGAATTCATAGGTATATACTGCCTTGCTTAAAATCTAGGAAAATGTAATTGATATGAGTTGATTAAATATAATAAGGTCACAGTGTTAAGTTTTATTTTTTAAATTAAGTATTTATGAATGGATGTCTTTTAATTGAATACATTTGTATTTCAGGTAATTAAAAATTGAAATTAAATAAACATTAAAAAGTCAAATAACCAAAATTTCATAAAGCAAAATATGATATAGCTTATAAGAAACAATAGCCATTATTTATCACATATCTATGTTACAGGTCCCAAAGTAGACACTTTCTGTATATTGTATCTTATCCTAACTTGAAGAGAATATTTTATGAAGAAACCTTGCCTCAGAAGAGTTATGTGACTCATTCAAAGTCACAGTTTTAATAAGGGATGTGGATGGAGTTTAATCCAAGAGTTCAGTATAATACCCTTGAACTGTACTAYGCTGCAGCTGGATTAGCTAAATTTTATGGGGTCTCAAATTGAAAAGAAACTACATCTGTTTGAGAGGAGCAGAAAAGATTTCACACAGAGACTTAGCATTTGTGTTGCCTTTTACTGTCCATGATTTTGACCTACAAAGATAGTTCTCAAGATTCAATACGGGTAGTGAAGACACTCAGTGGCAGAGTACATACTTGCACATTTAATATAGTATGAAAATTTCATGTCAAATCTTTGGAATGTTCCCCTTATCTGTAACTAAGTTAAGGATGATAATGTTCAGGATCTAATCAAGCAGTTGGGAGCATTGGCATCCTAGGAGTAATTGATTAAAATTGATGGTGCAAAGAAAGAGAAATCTGAAACCTAAGGCTCTGGATGCAGCTACCACTGGTGTGATGGTGTGTTTAAAAGGCTTGTATCCTAATCCTGCCAACTTGATGCCAGGGTCTTTACTAGTATAACTGCCTTGAAACTGTAGGCAGACTTCAAAGACAGGGAGAGGAGGACAGAAGGGGGAGAAAAGAAAGGGGTCTCAGTGCGCTGTATCCCAGAGGGCAAGATTCTAATGTGAAGACTTTGGGAAGGGATTTCATGTGAGTATTTTTGTCTCAGATTTCTAGACGGGGACATTAGCAGAGGGAATCACAGAAAGGATGTGCATCAATGCAAATGAGGCATGATGTCTTTGACTTTAACCCAGTGAATGCCAAACCAAACTTTATTGCACATTAGACTCTCCTGAGATTATAATTAATTCCTTTCAATTAACTTAGAATGTTGTTAGAGCCACRTGTCAGGGACTTTCCCAAGTCATCAGGTAATTTGGATGTACAGCACAATTTGAGAAATACTACTTTTAAATCTTTAACTCACTGTGCCTTCCTAATCCACCATTCACAGGCAGACAGCCACCATGAGATTATGATTTATTTCCAAGAAGCCGATTTCCATTGTCTTTGCTGGTGTCACCTGCATATATTAATAGTCCCAATTCTAATTGTTCTCCTTATGGTAMAAGGCCTTTTTCCTGCTCTTTGCACACAACATAAGTTTATATGTAAAGAAAGCCTGTGCTCTAGAACTGGTTCTGTTGATGAGATATGATATCAAGCAATGCTTTCATTATGGACAGACACATTCTTTAATGTCTTCCATCATTGTTTGTGCCTTTGTGTGCTTATATTCTGACTATAAGTTAGAACAACACTGACTTAGTCTTCAGTGGATTTGAAAATATAATGAGGAAGAGAGGAAGTACAAGTGCCCTTTAACTTCAGCTACTCTTCCTTTGGAT